GTGACTTCCTGGGAGGGGGGATGCCCCACACCCTCGGCCCCTTCTCTTTCTTTTAAATGTTTGTTTATGGGCTGCTTTACGGTACGCGCTCCCGACCGATCAGCCCGCCCCTTGGTGCGTGGACGGGAGGCTCCCCGCTGAGCCGCCGCCAGGGCTCCCTGGTGGGTCCTGAGGACCTGCCTGGCCAGGGCTTCTCCCCGTTTTCCAAGGGTTCTTTGCGTTCCCGGTGTTAATCCCTATCAGACAGGTGGCCTGAAAACACTTCCCCCCTTAGTGCCTTTCCAGAAATCCTCACCTGAGGACGTATGTTCTTACTGACTTTGGAGCGAGGAACGGGCATGTGAGAGGACCGTTGATCAGCTGCCTCCCGTAATCGCCTGCCCCACCGAGGATGGGATCGCAGCCTGGGCCTGGGCCTGACGGGGTGAACCCGCACCTCTTGGTGTGCAGGACGCGCTCCAACCAGCTGAGCTGCAAGGTCAGGGCCTGTTTTAACAATGGAGCTGAGAGCCCTGGCCAATTTGGCTCAGTGGATAGAGCGTCGGCCTGCAGACTGAAGGGTCCGGGGTTCGATTCCGGTCTAGGGCATGTACCTTGGTTGCGGGCACATCCCCGGTGGGAGATGTGCAGGAGGCAGCTGATCGATGTTTCTCTCTCATCGATGTCTGACTCTCTATGCCTCTCCCTTCCTCTCTAAAAAAATAAATAAAATATATATTTTAAAAAAATGGAGCTGAGGAGGAGGGGGACATGGGTTTGATGTTCCTCCCACATGTGCACTCACTGGGTGACGTGCACGCGGCCCGGCCACGGGTCACACCCACAGCCTGGCCGGTCGGGGTGACGCTCCAGCCGTCCAGCACCCGGCAGGGCCGAGGACGTGGGTAAACATGGGGTCGCCTATTTCCCCGTCAGCCCGTCAGCTCGGTTTGTGCGAAGGTCTCACGTGTTGGATTGGAGCTTGTTTCCAGCACTTCCTGCCGTGCTTCGCTCTCGCCGTCTCTCCGTGTGTCTGTCTCGCCTGTGAGGTGCTTGTTTCCTCTGCACCGTTGACTGCCCTGCACGCCGCGACGGAACGGCCCCGCTGTGAGGCGCGGCCCCCTCCACTCTGGGCATTTCTGCTTTGCTTCAGTGTCTCAGACACACCCCTGAGTTTGCCTTCTCTCCGAGCGACGAGTCCCACTCAGGTCTTGTGCTGGGTGCGGGGTTTGCCGCTTTCGCCTGTTTCCTTCCCGCCCACATGTCCTGTCCCTCCCGGCACCCCCTCCCCCGGTGGGTTTGTCTTTACCAGTATTTTTAAAGTTATGCCAAGGCCCCGCCCCACCCCACCAGGACGGGTTCTTTTAATGCACTTTTAAACCCCCTGCTCTGATGGCTTATGTTTTTTAAAAGTAGTCAGAAATCTTAACAGTTACATTATTTTTAAAACATATCTTGCTTTTCTCCCCAAAATATTTTTTGGAAACCAAATCACACACACACACACACACATCTCAGAGGGAAGGCGGGGCGTGGGGGTGGGAGGGGCAGAGATGAACCAAAGACCGTGTGTGGAGTCTGCAGAGCCCACGGACTCACCACGTGTGGTGAAGGCTTGGGGGAGGGGCAGCTAGAAAGGGTCAGTGGGGAAAAAAGGGGACGCCTGTAATGCCTTCAACAGTAAAGGTTTTTGGAAAGTAAATAAATAAACCGTAAAATAAAAAAATAAACCCCAAACGAATCCCCAGTGAGACACCAGGGCGGATGTGGGCTGTGGCTCCCGGCTGCCTGGGCTCAAGCCCCAGTCTCCGTGGTGGTCACAGGGCGTGTGGCCTTGGGCGCCTGAGCTCTGCCATCTGCGCACCTGGAACAGGGAAGAGGCAGCAGCCGCCTGTGC